AAACTGGAATAAACGATTTCGGTTTGGCTTCATGCGGTCCTGAATATTCACGATAGTGAGCTGTTTAAATTCATGTCAATAAACCAATTAAACTGGGTACTCCATTTCCATGCATGCGTAAAGCAATTAAACGCAAACCGCACGGTTTTGCGGGGTGTTGCGTGAATAAGCTGTGTCACAGACTGGATGAGTTTTAAGCTGCACACTTTTTTTGTATTAAATCATTATGCAGGAAGTAACGTAAACACAGTACGCAGTGTTATCCCGGGTGCAGAATTTAAAAAGGTTAAACAACCTTCCTTCTCCAACAGCACTCTACAGATTTACAAACCTCATTTCCAGAAAGATTGGAAATTTTCTAAAATGCAGCACAAACAAAAATCTGTATCATGTTATGCAGGAATTTAACTGACAAAAGTACAACAAAGAAAAGATTGTATTTTGTAAATATAAACAAAGTTAGAATTTGCCGCAATACACTCAACAAAAGTTGGGACAGAGGTAAAACAAGATGTGCAAGGAATATTCCAGTAAAACCGGTTTGGCAGATTCCATATTAAGCAGGCTTACTGGCAGCAAGCGAGGTCAAGGTCGCCAGCCCTCATGCATCTGGTGTGATACTCTAAGATGCTTTAAGATTCTCACGCTCACACAAGAAATCTATATTATTCCATTATAAATCTAAAATTAGCGAAAGTCTTGGAGTAGTTTGCAAACCCAAAAGACTATTTACAAGGTAATGTAACTGCTACAGTACATACGTGTAAACGCATATGCAGACTTGTCTTGAATTAAAAATCTCAGGCCAGCCAGCTGATGAAAGTTGGCGACCCTGTGAAGTATCATGATTGGGTGTAAAAGTAGCATCCATGAAGGTCAAGGTGGGAAACCACTGGTGAATGCATGTGATCTTTGAGCCCTCAGCCGGCACTGCCTAAGAAACTGTCACACTACTGTGACAAATATAGCCACCTGAAAAACATTGTCACTTAACACATTCTCTCGCTACAACCTGAAATCCTACTTGAAACTTTGTCACGCAAGGAAGAAGCCATACATTATTTCTATGCAGAAACACCAACAAGTTCTCTGTCTCGGACGGACCAAAAGACTGTGGATCAGCGTGCTGTGGTCAGATGAGTCCACAGTTTGTTTTCAGAAAAAAATGGGCCGACCATCCAGACTGATATCAGCAAAAGCCAGCATCTGTGATGGCATGGGGGTGCATCCGTGCCCATGGCATGGGAGAGTTGCATGTAGGTGAAGGTACCATTGACTCTCGGGCATATATTAGGATTTTAGGGAGACATACAGTACTGTGCAAAAATCATAATCAATCAAAAGAAATTTTTAAACCTGTTTTTCTGGGTAGTACATGCAGTTTTGATCAAAACAAAAAACAGAATTTAGCATTGAAACATATGAAAATTAAGAGTAATACAATAAACATTATTAAGAATTTCATCTTTTCTCCAAAAAGTTACTGATATCTAGTTGTATGGCTAGATGAACACCTCTTCAGCTCCCAAACCTCTCCTCATGGGCACCGCAGCTATTTCATGTATTTATTAAATTTCACCACCAGTTCACTTAGTTAATTAATTTAATTAGTTAGAACAAGTCGATAAGGTATTGATTAGCTGTGTGAGGTGTGCTAGTGGTTGAGTTAGAAAAAACATGGGTGTATGGATGGCTGTTGCAAATACTTGAGTGATAATGACAGACGTGTTGAAATATCACACGTCACACCTCAAGCTTGTGTCACACACTTTGACAGACATACTAACATAGTTTTCTCCAACATGAATGTCACATAAACATCATTTTCTTTGGCTGCCCAAGACTTTTGCACAGTATTATATGTTGCCATCAAAGCAACGTCTCTTCCCAGGACGTCCATACTTAACTTCAGCAGGACAATGCCAGACCAGATTCTGCACAGGCTACAGCAGTGTGGCGTCATAGACACAACGCGTGTACCTGACTGACCTGCTGCTAGTCCAGATGTTTGCCAGAACATTACCTAGCATCAGCAAAGCTATCGACCATAAGCGTATCATTTTTGGTATTTTCATGTTCTTTATTTGCTTAACATAATTCCTTTAAGCATCGACGGTTCTGCAGGTGACTCCGCCCAGTGACATCTCCGAGGTTTGCTTCGGCTTTGTGTGACATTCACCAGAAGCAATCAACAATCTTATCCAGAAAGGGCCGGGGGTTGTTTGCGGGTTTTCACTGCAGCTCCTTAATTGGATTACCAATTTGAGGACTGATTGGCTGAAGAGTCCTCACACCTGGGTTGGAACAGCTGACCTAAAGGTTGTCCCAAAAACCTGCATACACACCGGCCCTTTCTGGATAAGATTGCCCACCCCTGCTATATGGCGTTGTGTCATGTGACACATTCACAGACTGCCACACAGCTGCCAAAGATATTCAATGGCGATGGCGAGGCGAATGCCGTCTGACGAGCAGCATTGATGAGTTTTCTGGATGGGAGGCCAGAGCACTTGTTAGAGTGACTCATCGAAGATCAGCTGTGCTAATTTGGCGAGAGTCGTGAAGGATTAGCGTTTGAACAATGATCAAGCCAGTTGCTTTCACACACGCTTGATTGATTTAGCGTGACTGTCAATGTGGGGCACGTGTCTTTACCAGCGCCATGCGACACATTTGTTGTTTGAAAAACGAGGCAACACCAAAAAAAAAGCTCAGACTTCCTTCCAGGGATGAAGAAACAGTGACAAAGTGAGCCACATGCCACGCCTGTCAACAGCTGCCTCCATGAAAACACAATTTTTCAGACCCCTCTCCTGCCGACCCGACTCTCCATCTGCTCCTCACTCCACTTCCCACCCCCCCCCTAAAAACCCAAGCAACCAACCCTTGTATATCTTATGAGGTTATCCTATTAAACACCATTGTGTGAATCTGGTCAGTGTGACAACACTGAAAATCTGCAGCTGCTTCTCTCTCTTCCAGATGTGTCCCCATGGACAGATTGAGGCCAATATGAGTTTCCATGATGTGTGACACAAAGGGACAGCACTTGATATCCATAGAATGCACGTCTTACATTCAGTCGGGCTACATCTGTGTGACCTGGCACCATTTCGAGGGCATTTTTGATGGTGATGAAATAATGAGCGGTTTTTGACATTGACTCTTACGTATTTTATTTTAATTGGTAACATTTTGTGATTTCATTCCCACTATTTTCGCTACAGGTGCACTGGACTGCTCACTTGTGTAGTGACACCCAGCACAAGGAATTAAAGTACTCAATAGGTAAAGAATATATAGGCAAAGGAACATGTAACAGTACAGAAAAGATTATTTATGCGCAGACACATTACTTTTTCATCTCAGATCAAGGGATTTGAGGGACGGTGGAGCACCGTTATCACCCCATTTTTACTCTGTGTCGTTGGGAATGTTCCGGCACATTCCGATTGAGCACCTTCATTGCCATCGCGCTCTATGCTCTTACCTTCTCTCCAGTCCAATCGTCTGCCAAAACTCCCACACCAGTGTCTGGGAGACTTCAACGCGTAAAACTCCTGTGGTGGCTTTACAAGCAAGTCTCCGAAAACACAGGTGTCTATGCATATTCATGCAGTGTGAGTCCCTTATTCCTACGGTGCTGATTATGTTTGCGGTTTGCCCTTAATATGCAGATCACCGTGATGAAGACCAATCATACAGGATCACCGCCAGCACACCCATGAATAGTCATGATTACTGAGGCAGGGAGCAGGGGGCAACAACAATAATTGCCACTTTCTGTGTACTCTGAGCGGGGTCTGTCTCACTGGAATGAAGTTATTAGGAATCCTGCAAACGTTTCTGTGGAATGGATTAGCCAATAGGAAAATGAAAAGAATAGTACAGTACAGGGGGAGATCTTTTCTGGAGTCCAAGAATATTGCACACCAACCTCTGTCATCTGCGGTTTCTCCTTAGTGTTTTGTACTGATGCACAAAATGACGTTTCATGAACCATTTGCTATATTATTGCATCCCACTAGATGGGGCTCTTGGTTTGCTTTGGGACATGCTTTGAGCCCTCTTTTGTATGGAGAGCTCCATCTAGTGGGGACAAATTATACAGCGAATGGTTCAAGAAGCGTCATTTTGGCCATGACTATAGTTTTCTCTGGAGATCCAGGACCAAGTTCTGGTCCAGCCAGACACATCAGATATGAGGTGGGCAAGGGGCACAGCAGGGCAATGATGAAGCCCACTGCCTCATTCAGAGCTACAGACTTTGGAATGGCAGCCACGGTAAGGGACCTGGTTACTTCGGTATCAAACATACCACAAATGAGTATTAGATGGGACTTAATAAGGCTATGGGATCAGCTGAACCGCAACAGGACACAACTCTGTTTTTTGTTTCTGCAGCATTACAGATCCCTTGCTTAATCCATTGCAAATGAGTAATTCTAACCAATGAAGAGTGGATTAACGGAACAGCATGCGACAGTCCCACCCGGCGCAGGTCTGTGCCTAAAATTCCATCTGGGTCAGTCTCCTGGAAATGGATTCTCATGAATGTTCTGGTTTTCGGACAGGCACTCAGTCAGAGGTGACACTCGGAGTCTCTCCGGGAGCGTCCTATGAGGAAGTGTGAGCAGGACGTTTCTGAGATTATGTATTATCTAGTCTCTGCCCAGTGTGTGTGGAGTTCTCCCTGTGTCTGGTCTCCTCCTGCAGTCCAAAGATATGCAGTTGGAAATTTACAGATGGCTTTTACTTGAGCTGTGTACGAATGAGTGTGTGTATATGAATGCCATAGATGGGCATCCCATCCCCCAGCCTTGTACCCAGTGCTGCCTGTGATAGGCTGCAGGACCCCATGTGACCTTTACCAGGATAACAGGTTGGAAGGTAGATATTCAGCAATGATGATACACACTCTATCCCAGGCTCAGGATGGTCCATAAACACCGCACACCATTAGAGACCAGAAACTTAACAAACAGCAGCAGTCAGACTGGTTAAATATGGAGACTGTTTATTTATCCATAAGGTAATTCTTAGGTCAGTAAGAAAACACATTTTAGAATTTTAACAATAAACGTCGGTGTAATTCCAGAAGCGTTGTGGGGAAACGTGATAAAGGACATGGACCAGTACTGGAAAATTCCGCTTTCAAGATGACAGCCAAATCACATTAAAAGTTTTGGATTTTTTTTATTGTCTTAAATTACCCTAAATACAAAAGCAAACATGGCAATAGAAAGAATCAGCGTTTATCGCGCTCTGCCAGAAGAGGCCTGGACTGACGGTGTTTAACAAGACAGTCAGAGTAAGCCCAGAAGGAGCAGAAGCATCTCCATCCTGCGGCCGCCTAAATCGGAACTTACCCTACAGGATGCCTTTCATTTTCACTATCAATTCTTCATTCTTGGAGGTTCTTAGTTTATACACAAAAAATACATGTAAACGAAAATATACAAGTGGTGCAAAAGTCAAATATAGTTGACCCTTGTGGTAAACATTCGTAAGCACTTACCTGCCGGGGAGGGGGGGGTTCATTCACCCAGGGGTTTGGGATAAAGGTTGCAGTTACGTTAATTAGGTGAAGTTCTACAGTACAAATTACAGCACACACTGGCAGTCAAGTCGCTCCAGACGTCACTTTAACTTCAAAGTTCTTGTTTTGTATTGGTGGCCGAGTTTAGTTTTTTCTCTTTTGCGCTCACCTCTTGTAAACTGGGCATCAGGGTGTTTTTTGTTTGAAACACTAGCGACGCACCTTCTGACTGCTGTCCTGTTCGCTGCTCTCCGAAACCTTCCTGGGCCCTGCACTCCCCCTGCTGGAGAGAGGATGCAAAGGCACAGAGTGTGGCTTCTCAACTCACAAGGGCTACTGCACAGATAGGTGTAGCTGGTGATCACATGACTGCAGTCACCTGACCCTGCCTCTTGCGTGTGTTTTCTACATGTAAATGTGATTTCTACATTTACAGCTGTCGTTTGAGGGCTGCAGTAGCATTTCTTTCTATAATGGGGATTAGCTAATATCACTTTTTCTAACACAGGAACTTTCTTTACTTGCTCCCACGCTGCATAAGTTATCCCCACACAGTAAGGACAGCAATCCCAGGGTGCTCTCTGCCTGCCAGCCTCAGAGAGAGCAGCTTGGCTCAGTACCTGTGGGAAGATCAGTGTCACATGACCCCAGAGGGTTAGAGGGAGCCCCTCCTCACAGCTACATCACATGACCCAGGAGCAACAGAGAGAGCCACTCTTCTATTATTAAAAATGCCAATACAGATTTGGTTGTACTGATTTCAATCTGCCTGTGGTTTAATTAATCTCAGTTGTTTTGCTAGAATAACCACCCAATCACCTTATTATTAGGCACGTTATTGGTTAATTTTGCTGTCAATCAGGAATCCTCCAATTCCTGTTCATCAAGATGTGCCCGCCCCTAATGGGTGTAATAAGACATCACTTCCTTGTTCTAATCACACAAGACCGTCACCCCAGCACCGGTGTCTGAGATCCGATTATCAGATTCCTAAATTCTGCACAGCTCTGTTCTCGACATTTCCTTTAAACTGTCTTCGCAGTCACACAAACACTGCAGGCAAATTTCACAGTCCATTTTCACATACACTGGTGTGAAAACAACACACTCATTTTATAGGCACCACGGAAATAGCTCAAAAAGAATTAGCAACATGGTTTGGCACATCATTGGGTGAGAATATTAATAAAAATAGTTAACAGGTGTGGCTTCATCTTAAAAATGCACATGGCCTTTGTTTTGACAGCCATGAGCTGGTTACATTAAACACAGCTAATGTAATTAGCTGGGGGAAAAAAAATAAAAAATAAAAAAAATATATATATATATATATATATATATATATATATATATATATATATATATATATATATATATATATATATATATATATATATATATATATAAAATATATATATAGACAATGTGATGTGAGCATGTAATCATCATCCACTCATTTCGATCATCCAGTGCCCCTTATCAAGAAGGAAGGTAGCGCCCTCTAATGGTGCAATTTCTCAGTTTAAATCTCACCAGGAATATAATGGCCATAAAGTTTCACTTGTACCACCTGTTCTTTCTGCTGTGTCAATTCCCAGTTGAGTAGCAGTGTAAGTAATTCTGTTACGCCCTCTAGTGGCAATAAAATAAAACCTCTCAGGAGCACCCCTGACCAAACGCAAGCATAATTTTCTTGCGCATTTGAGCCGCCTTTGTTCACTGCAGCACAGGCACATAGAGCGGAGCCCCCAGAGGCACTCAGGAAATGAAACAATCAAATGTCTGGCTTTCTTAGAGCGTTCTGGACAAATAAGCACTTCCTTCCAAGTGCCCTACTGGGCCTGTGTCAACCCCCACAAGAAGGGCAGGTCTTGTTTGACAGTGGCGCCAAGACTTTCTAAGGAATGCCCCCTTTGGGGTAGGTTCCACGCCCAGAGCTGGCACACGATCCTTAACTCCTGGCACGAGTTCACGCTGGAATCGTGGAAAGTTCACGGGCTCTTTTTCTCCATCCCACAAACGCTCTGCAGAGAAAGTGAGCGTTGGCCGTTTAAGTAACCAAGAAAGACACAACAGAGTGTTTTGTTACCGTCTCGTCATGGAGGGGAAACGCCCGTCAGAAGGCTCGTGTCACTGTTTGCGTTTTAACTCTGTTTTCACAGTGCTCCCCCTCGAGAGGCACCCATCGGTGTCGAAAACTGACAGCCTCCACCGCTTCGTTCCTCAAAAGCCGCCGGAGATTCTTCTCGCTGCTCCAATAAGGGTACGGCTGGGGTTGAAGGCGGGGCTGTTCTTTTGGGGAGGGGTTTCATTTCAGGGTCACCGTGGAGACCTGGGTGAGAGGGGTAACAATCGCAGCGCGTGGCCCAGTTCGGTTTCCTCTGCCAGCTGCCGCCAAAGTCGTCTTTCCGGGCCAGAGAGAGCAAACACCCTGCTCCCAGCCTCTGGCACTGCTACAGCTGAGAGTGTAGGATGTTTACAGTCTCTGGGTCCTGGGGTTCTGCTCCGAAAGACAGCCACCAGCCCTGAGATTCGAGGCTTGCTTGGAACGGGGACTAATATTAAAGAGTTTGCCCGAGGCGTTGGATTCCGCCCGGAGGTGATCCAAGAGAATGACACCACCCAGTGGTTGGCCAGAGATGGAACGGCTTCTGCGGGTGCATTACTGGGATATGCAGGTAACGTCCAGCCCAATAACATGGACCATTGTGGGGAGGTACACAAGCATGGTCTTATTACGGCTAGCAGATTCTCTCACCAGTAGCACCCCCTGCTGGCCAGATAGGAGAGCTACCCTGCATCTAACGATTGTTTATTTACTGTATGAGACAAACAAACAGTGTGGTGATGGCTCTGAGGGTCCTGGGAGGCTGGGTCGGTGGTGGGGGGTCTTGTTGAATCCCCCAAACAAACGTCATCAGTCCCCCCTCCCCCCTCAGAGGATGTGGCCCCTCCCTATCAGCAGGAGCCATCCTGAATGGGGGACATTTCACATCCTCCCGTTTCCTCTGTCAGACAGCAGCCCTGCCTGCTCTCTTTAATGACCCCCAAAGACAAAGAGAGGCTGGAGCAGTGGGAGGTGGGGGTTCTGACACTGTGGCCATAACACCCCCCCACAGCCACGTCACACCATCACCCTCGGGGCCACAGAAATGACTCTGTACAGGTTATCAGCACACTGTATCGACACTGCATCTACACTGTCATGCCGTTACACTATCACAATCAGTCACTTAATGATTATTGATATTATTATTAATAATTATTATTATTAATTCTGCTATATTGAGACCTCTGCGTTAGCAGCTCAGCTGGTATTTCTACAGAGGCAGAAACATGGCAGGTGAGAAGGCAAAAGCATAGGTCACGGTGGGGGGGGGGGGGGGGGGGGGGGGGCAGGACGGGGGGCCTCAGGATGGGGGTACTCAAGATGAGGAGCCTCAGGAGAGTCCTCTGCTCACCCCAAGCCTGCCCCCCCCTTGCTCGGCCACACCATATCAATTTGCCCTGACACAGGGCTCAGATGCTGCCTGCAAACTCCTCATGGGGGAGGACCTGGCCACTAGGGGGGGGGGGCTGCTAGAGTGGACACAGTGACCCTCAGAGTGCAAAATAAACCAACTGGGACGCACTGAGCCACAGGCCCTGCCCCCTATGCCATACATTGGGTGTTCGCCTACATGTAGTCATGTGACCACAGCCACCTTGTTAGGAACTGTCCAGAGTCCTGAAGCAGAATCAAACTTATTCGGATATTTGTTATGGCGAGTTGGCTATAATTGATGCACGGAACGAATAAATGTGATAAATGGGGTTACACATCCCCCCGTACAGCTCTCTGTCTGATGTGCATCAGAAAATACACTGTGAAGTGTGCAATAGAAGCCGGTCCATTTGTAGTGGTTAGAGCGACTGCTGCCCAGGCAAGCTCCGATTAATGACAGCTGCACCATGTGGAAAAAAGCTGAGTGAGTGGTGAGCTGATTGCAGCCGTATGGTCCGAAAGCATTTCTCAGACCTCTGGGACAGGTGGTGTCTGGGATGAGAAAGACCAGCTTTGATTTTCCCAGCATGCCTTTTGACCCTGGATTCAGTCAGTTCCTGGACTAAAGCAAAGCTGCGGCCAATAAACTCGTCTCTGGGCTAGGCAAAAGGTCACAGTCTGCCTCGGGATTGGACAGGATGTTCGTCAGTGAGCCGCTCAGCAGCCACGGCAACCGGATCCACGGCAACTGCAGTCAAACACTCTGGTTCATGTACACTTTGTTTGTTATGGTTCGTGTCAGTATAAAACACTGCTCTTCTGATCAGCTCCGGAACACAAAAGGGAGTGGAGAACGTTAGCGCCACGCTAATCTGTCTCACAGCCCTCATGCCCCAGTGAGAAAGTCCTCCATCTCTCCTAGATACTCCTAACTGGAGAGAAACACTTTCCCACATGGCCGAGGGCCTGCTGCTCCCTAGCGCCCCCTGCCTTACCATTCAAAGTCAGCAGCCAGAAGTTTCAGCAAAGACTGGCATGTCACTGGGTGGATATTAATACTTAATACCAACGTCAGTCTTTGCCCGAGAAAGACAGAAAGAAATGAAAAACAAGTACATCAATGCCATTTCGGGAGTGTCCCGTTCAGATGGGAGCATCGGTATCCAGGGTGCGATTCCTCCAAGAGCCACTGAACATTCAAAAAAATGACTGTTTCTTCTGTGCCGCACGCAGACTCCGCCAAGTTCTCCCTTTCTCTCGTCCTACTTCATCCCCTGGCCATCAAAGACGATGACCGTGACCGTGGTGAAGTTTCTGCCCCCGCTGCTTGGAGGCCCCGTGTATAACACAGCTGGTGGAGGGTAAACCACCGTTAAAGAGTGAGCTACGTAGCAAACAGTTAAGTAAATGGGTGTGGGGGGGGGGGCAGGCTCGACGGCAACAGCAGCGGGCGGCTGCAAACATCCGACTGAAAGCCCCCTCTTCTACACCAGCTTCCAGTCAAGGATGTTTACAGCTGCCCGTACTGCCAGAGCGCCCCCTGGAGGAGGCCTCCGGCGTGCAGGTCCCACGTCCCCCATCTGAGGGAGTCACACGCCTCCCAAAAGTGTTCCCACTACCCAGGGTGGCTTTGCAGCTCACCTCCATGTTTACAACAATAACACCGGCCAGTGTAAAGCGTACACAGGCACTGTTTTACCCTGACACATCCCCCACCCCCGCCACAGAAGGAGCCTGACAAACACACGGGCCCATCTGCTGTAACCCCCCCCACCTCCGCTCATGAGACTCGGCGCTATTGTTTATCCTAAAAAACCGCCGCGTGGCATAAAAATCGGCAGGTGCTGAGACCGCATTTCATGCGCTTACACCCCTACCGCAGCTGACCATGCATGCAAACACACACACACACACACACCCCCCCCCCCCCGCAGGGACGTGTGGCCCATCACCATGTGGGTCAGGGGGCCAACTCAGCAGTCATTCCCACAGAGTACACCCTCCTCCGCTCTACAGCTTTCCAAGCCCCCTTTCTCCCATTACTATGGTAGGCTGGTGCACAAAACCACTAGACAGAGTTCGAAGCCCAACTCAAAAATGAGGCCAGATGCGAGACCTCGGAGTTACCCAAAGGGGCAATGTAGCAACAGCATGTAGTAACGCCGTGGCCTGTAGCGATCGACCAGTAGGTGGCGCTGCCACCTCCGCTATGCTACACCCCACATCTCCACCACCAACATGCAATCCGCTGGGCGGCTGATTGCTGGATCAGAGTGGGTCCTCCAGCTTCCACACTGGCCTCGCGTGTAATCCCCGACGTGTAATAATCTAATTATAACAGGGACTCCCAGCCATCGCCATGCATATATTCCCAGTTCCGCACTTTTCCAATTCCCAGGCTCTATATCTATATCTATATATGTTTTTTAAGCCTTGGTCAGGTCACAGAGGGGGGAGAGCTCGGGGGGGGTAACAAAGCAAACTTTATCAGATCACGGCAATTCTGCATTCCACGAATACTCAGCCCTCGGCAACCATATAGCTCGGCAAAGCGACAGAGGGAGGGGCGAGCTAAGCCATCCCAGGGCGCCCGCTCAGGCTTGACAGCCAGCCCGTTATTAATACACAAATACCTAGAAACGGCAGCGCTGGCGGCATGTTTGCACAGAATATTTCATCAATGCCAAGGTGCCACTTGAAAGCCCCTTATTCACAGTGAGATTCCTGCAAGCCTGACAATCCTGGAAAGAAAAAAACAGAAATACATAGAAAAAAGTTTACCTAAGATTGTTTTGTAGGTGCAGCACTGACTGAAATGTGTCGGAAGTAATGTCTGAGAAGTCAGATTTTACAGTCAACATAAAGGTTAAACTACAAAGCGATCAGGTTGCTTTTTTTTTTTTATTAGATTATATGTATTAAATGACTGTACCGCACAAAGCACTGCCTCATATTCTCTAAACGCCTCAAAGTCACTGCAAGGTCAAAGATCCTAATGGCCAAACAGAAGCATTCCTTCACAAGAGACCGGGGCAAAATAATAAGTTTGGAAAACAATACAATGAAACACTTGACCCTACACAATCTTATAAGACGTAAACAACAGCCTCAGAGCTGATTAAAATTCATGGTGCCATCATTTGGGACTTCCAGGATGTTTGATTCCTTTGCTCTGAACGATAAGGAGGGGGCTCCGGTCAAAGGGTATCCTCCCCGAAATTACACCAGAGGGGCCCTTCTCACGTCTGCAGCGCCCCCCACAGCTAAATCTCCAGGGCTGACTGCAACATCCCATACCTCATACACAGGTTCATTCAGCACCTCACAATCGTCGCGCATTCATCCCGAGGAATTAATACTGCCACAGAGGCCAAACGAAACCTAATCAGGCCGGTCCATACCAACCACATTAAGTCCTGAATCTTCCTTATCTTGGCTTCCATTCGAATGCGTTTTTACCACAGATTAACGCGGTCCTTTGAAATTCACAAAGGCACCCAATTCACCTGGCTTCAAAAATTTTTTAAAAAGATACATGATCTCGAACTCCCCCCCCCCTCACCCCCCCCCCCAAAAAAAACTATCAAGATTTCTATACAAAAACACAGACACATATTAATAAATTCTGACACTGCACTGTAACTGTACTAATTTCTTTACATCTACAGTAACCAGAGCTCAAAGTGATTGAACATAATGTCAAGAATTGCTCGGCTCTTCATTAAATCTTGCGAGCATGAACTACGAATCTGAACACAACCATTTTGTCCACTTAGCAGAACGCAAGCCACTCTGGGCCATCAGGCCATCCACAGGGGTTACTGAGTAGCTCATAACCTTCACAGCTAATGTTTGTCCTCAATCCACAGGAGTTTGTTTAGCAGAAGCTAAACTATGCAGTCACATGTGTTTCCACTCTTTATCAGATAGGACAAGCCCCCCCCCCCCCCCCCCCACCCCCACCACACCCCACCCACTAGCCCCCAAAAGGAAACGTTTCCATTCCAGCCCTCCCCCGCGACTTCTCCAGGAATCCCAAAGAAGCTGGCGGCGGTGTGCCCGGGTGAGCTGGAAAACCCAGTGACCTTGGCTAAGGACAAACCACGGGCACCCGGGCAAGAGTTAAACCAGCGGTCATATTCGCGGACACGCTCTAAATGTGGCCACAGCGCCGGTGAGCCGTGACTGCAGACTACTGATTAACGCCGCTAACTACCAAAGGTCAAGCGGGTGTCAAATATTTGCCAGGGCACATATCATTAAAAAAGACCACATCTGGGGTCCAAAACACTGTAAACTATTTCTCTCTTCGGTTTCTAAGGTAACAGCAGCTGTTTTACAGCTGCACACGCATGTGAACGCAGGCCGCACAGGTGCAGTGCATGTGGCTGCATGAGCATGAAATGGTGAGAGATCCCCGCATTCGAGACACACTTGGAGTCACAGGACAGATTTTATGTAGACGACGTGCTCTGGGCCTGCTGAGCACAGCTGAAGATCACAGCGCATCCGGACTAAAATGACATGCATTTCCTCAATCTGAATGTCTACCATTTCCTAAGACTGAAAAAACTACTTTCAAGGATTCAAAGCAGTCTGCAACAATAACAATACGCACTGTAGCTCATGACTATCAACTGCAGTACATAATATATCGATAAAAGGTAAAACTTCAGATGCAGGCATGCATATATTACAGCAGAATTCTGCACTTCTGAATTACATAAATACGTAAAACTATGCATAAACAAAGTAATCTATTTTAACGGTGCAGACAGGAAGGCGTCACTCTACAACGTCTAGTTGTCAAAAAGACAAACTTGTTTCGGACACACAGCCAGGCCGGCGAATCCCTTTGATTCCGATTCACCGGCGGATCCCTTTTATTTATTTGCAGCGGCAGATCCCCTTGGTTTCATCGCAGAGACGTCGGCTTTTTCTTTCACGTTAATAACGCAAACCATCATTTTTATTTTTAATTTTTATTGATCTATTTGTGTTTCTTCGGAAAACTGAGTATTATCCAAACAGCAATTTAAATCAGTGAGGCGTTATAATGAGAAACGGTTATTTTTATTATTTTATTTTGACAGATAAGATAAACAAGGAGGTTATGTAATGACAGGATACTAAATTTACTACAGTTACGCCCCCATGAATAATCATTTTAAGCGTTTTTATCAGGACGGAAAACTTTTTTGCTGCTTTATTTCTGACTTTCAGTCATTATAACACGGCGCCTACACACTTACCGGAGCTCGGATCAGAAGTGAAGGGTAAACCGGGTGACCCTTTCTGCGCCGCGAGCGGATCAACTTTCGGCCATTGGCGGCGACCCGCGTCGGACTCCCCGGCTCTTCGCCCGGCGCCTCTCCGCCGCTCACACTGTTGCATTAGGCTACTGGCGGACGCCGCTCTAATTTGGGCTTCACCGCCCTCTTTGTCGCTGTTTACCGTGGTTCCGGCGCCGGTGACCAAGGAGCCCGCAACAGCGGCTTCAAAGAGACCATTGCACGGGACAACAAATCACTAGATAAAACTGAATTAAAATAAAAGCAGTGCGACGCGACGTGGGCACCCGAACGATACTCGGCAAAACTAGAAATAGCCCAAGTTTTAAGGTTAGGGCGGCCGGTGTAGGACGCGAGTGCCCCGGCTACTGCCGGTCCTTCCCCGCTCCCCGTCATCCTCAGCCGGCGGTCCGTCACTCCTTACTTCTTCTATGAAGCTCCCTTCAGGCCGGCCGGCCCCTTTCTGGCAGCGCTACAGCGCACTGGCCAATAGGCGAGCGGGAAGCGCGCATCAATGGGGGAGCGCGTACGCGCTTACGGGTACGAGCGCGCCGCTCACGAGCTGACCTCCACCCTCTGGCCGCTCGCTTAACCCCTGCTCTGGACAAATGCTGTGCGGCGTCCCGAATTAGGTTGCATGGCCAGGCCGTGCCATTATCGTTCCCGAAGACGTCTGGCTAAAGAGGAAATACGCTGTGTTTGTAATCAGTGTATACCAGCAGTACGACTGCGCGTGAGAGTTATGATTTTCTGAAACAAATGCCTTGTCACTGTGCAATGAACGGTATAAGTACAGCTCAAACAACCCTCAAAAATGAAGATCGTACATTTCTAGTGCCTACACTAGAGGGCACAATGAACTCAGACGAAAAAGCTTTTTAAAGGTTGGAAGGTTGCAAGTGCCCTTACCGCGGCTGTTACGACGAAAATGCATGTATATTGTGGGGATTACCCACATGCGTTTATATATACGCATATTTTCCCCATACCTTTACTACCGTAATACCAACAAGAAGCATGGAAAAGTGCCAATGGCCCCTTTAACAGCACAGAGCTGGGATATATTAGCATGCCCACTTCATTCAGTCACTATGGCACTTCTTGGCGTTCCTGAATAAATGGAGCGTGCTCAGATACCAGGTGTTACGATGTGCTGCATTGGTCTGGCCCCTGGATCGTGTGTCACGCAGACCTTGACCTGTGTTCAGAGCGATGCGGTGGGCGTGGCTTCGAGGCCGTTTGGTGCCCGCTGAGACAGCCTCCCCCCGGGGTCGGAGGTAAAGGTCTCTGGCTGGATTCCACCTGCCGTCTATAAGATGAAGGGCTGCTTCGTATCTGATCCCAAAGCCCTGCTCACAGGGAAAACCAAACGAGAAATAACATCACGCCAGGAGGAGCCGTTTGGCCAGGCATGCCAGTCATAGCATAGGTAGGGGTCTGGAGAGCCAGCCTGCACATACCCCAGAGCCAAGCACGGTCTAGGGGGCACGGCGGCCATTTGAGATGCGGAAGTGCAGTAGCTGGCTGTCAGGCAGGATGGCACTATGAGTCATATATGAATGACACACTGTTAGAAGGGAGACAGCATGTTTGCATACACACTGAAGGTACAGTGACAATATGTGGTTCAACAATCCAAATCTTTACTAATTTTGAAATAAATACACATACTTTGGGTGTCTGCTGTCAAATTTCCCAGTTAATGAAATGCAAAGTCTGATAGCAAAACTTTGAAACATTCCTGAGATTTTACAGTCCATGGATCAGCACAAAGCTCTGATTATATTCAGAATAATTGATGTTTAATTTTATGATTAATTTTTTTATGTTTTTGGTTCTACGTCACTGTCTCTTGCAGTGTGGGTCAGATGGTCTCCTTCAGGTCCTCTTGGGTTTGCCAGGGCAGCAGTGATTGATGACTATACAGGGCCAAATGACATTTTTATGGGGAGGCAGTCATGTGATGCCGTTCATCCAATGGGATGTGAGCGCTCTTCGCCGTCACCAACAGCCGCAGGAGATGGCCTCAGGTTGCTGTGGAGCAGGGTGTTCGTGACGCCCCAGGGTAACCTATGCTTTGTATCCAGGCCCAGCTGTGTGGAGGATACACACAGTGAACCCACATGTTCACTGTTGCTAGTAAACGTGTTACATATAAATACGCTTATGTGTTTATATTTGAAGATCAGTCTATGCAACGGCTCTCACGTGCAGCTAGGGGCGCTCTGCAGTGTTGCAGGAGGGTCAGGCGACTGTATGGTCCTTGCTGTCCATTAGAGTATGACCCCCCCCCCCCACCCAAGGTTTAGAGTGGGGGCCACCAAACAATTCAGCAGAGGTCACTACAGAGCAGGTTACGGTTCATTAAAGCTGAAAGGGGGAAACCAGGCCCTGAAAAGGTGACGATAGGATTCTCTCATCCTTTTCAAAGCATGGCAGTGTGACATTTTACCTTCCCATCTGAAGTTTCTTTGGTGTTAATGTGTTTTTGTGTATTTCAACACATTGCCATTAGGGGGAGCCATGCTGAGCTGTTTGTCATGGGGGAGAAGGTAGGATATCTGTATTTCTCAGCTGTGTCCAGAGCATTTCTTATACACAGTAACTTTGTCTTATAGATACTTGTACAGGTACGACATGTATAATCTACATTATTAACATTAAGACAGTGTGCATGGAATATGTGAGAGAAAATGAGAACTGCAGGCGCTGCTGTGACTGCTGATCAATGTGACATATAGAACATTCCAGAAAGCTGCTCTGTTGTACACTTGTCCACTGTGTTCTTCCTTGATCCTAGGCCTGACCATGCATGCTGGTGTCTTATGCTCAGCTAACATAAGGGGGGGGGGTAGGCAGGCAGTGGGCTAGTGAGGGTCAGAAGTTCAGCACATTGGATTACCTCGTACCCCAGTTCTGTGGTTAATGTTTACCCAACAACCTGCAGGAGACACTGGTGACCTTCGGAGCAGCACACAGGTGGAAATATCTGAATAACCATGAGGGAAGGATATCACGGAGTAACGACCATTTTGATGGGGGCGCTGGAAGCTGATCTGCATATTTTATGCTGAGGGGGGTGAGATGTGCATGCATGCAGTGAGGGGGGTCAAGCTAATGCCCTCACAGGGAACGCACAGTACCACCAAGGTGCAGAGCCAGCTCTGGGCCTTCGATCCCAGCCTGCCACTGGATTCCTGATGGGTGTTGGGTAATTCTGTGCATTTATGAGGATGCAGGGGGCGTCACGGAGCACTGGGAACTGGGACAGGTGTCAAAGCATGTGGGGGGGCTGCAGTGTTTTACGTAAAAGGTGTCAGGAAGCAGCCTGCTGTCATAGGTGATGTTTACAGGGCTGAATCGTGAGCGCACCCACACGTGCTACAGCCCTGACAAGGACACGACTGTAGAGATGCGCTATAGTGTCCTGTCCAGCCAGTCCAACAGGATACAGATAGGGGTACTTGACCAAGCACGTGTGTTCTATCCATCCATCCATCTCCTGCTATCATCCTATCCAGGGCCGCAGAGGCTCCAGAGCCTATTCCGGAGGCTAAGGGTGCAAGGCAGGGAACCACCCAGGAGAGGGCGCCAACCCATCGCAGGGCAACATGTGTTCATACATATTAATTACACATTTGTCCGTATTTACCTGCCAGAGCAAAGACCCAGTTTAATAGACCAAACCAGGGTGGTTAATTTTTACACACACAAACACATATAAAATTATGTACTGTACTGTAGAAAAGTCTTAGGCAGTTAAGGAAAATTCTTTAAATGATGTTCATGTTTGTGTAAAATTATGGTATTATGTCTGTCAAAGTGTGTGAGCTTAGCCATTTCAAAACCTCTCCTAAAATCACCACAGTACTTGCAGAAATCATCCAATGCACCGACATATGTTTTGACTGCACTGCTAGCACACTGTGTTTGGCTAATCAGCACCTCAGTGAGTTGTTTAACAAATTCATCTAATTAATTAATTGGAGCTGGTGGTGAAATTTAATAAATCCGTGGAGTGGCTGAGGTGCCCCTGAGGAGAGGTTTGGGAGCTGTGTTCGTCTAGCCATCTAGCAAGGTATCAGCCAACTTTGGGGGAATAGAAAAAAATCTTTTATTTTTATTGTGTTACTCTTAATTTGCCTAATCTATAATGTTAAATATGGTTTTTGTTCTGAGCAAATATATACTTGCTACCTAGATAAATAGCTTTAAAAATTTCCTTTGCCTAATGCTACGTTCACACCGCGAGCGTCAAAGACGCCAGCCGTCGCTCCCGCCGCCCTAAACGCGACGCTAGCCAACGCCGGAGACGCTCTATGACCTCATAGAGTGGGCGGGGACAAGGCCGCTCAGAATGCCAGGCTCTGAGAACTTTTTAAAGGGGCCGCAAAACAAACAAACGTGTAGCTTATATCTTTGC